CTGCAAGGCTGAGATACCGCCGACCAGTCGCTCGACCGAATGTGCCGGCTTTGATATGAGTTGCTCGATGATCTGTGCTTGACACTTAAGTTCTGCCTGCAGGGATTTGTGATCGGGTCCGATACCTTGTGCTCCGTAAGTTTCGGCATCGCGGTAAGGATTCTATCGACCCTCCAAGGTTGCAATCGCCGATCAAACAACAATCTTAGTGCTACGCAGCCTGCAGACTAGACATCGACAGGAGTGCTGAACTTAATTCCTACCGGCCCTTCCCTCTCAGGCGCTAGGAACCCGATAGTACCACCTTTACCGTGACGTGTCTCAAGAGAAGGCAACGAGCGTATGTCACGGATGCCATCAATGTCTAAGATCGCCACGTGCGGGAGACGTATCTGCAACAAGCCGCTGTTTTGGGCCTTGATATCGTCGTGAATAAACTCCGCTGATAGCACCTCAATATATTGAAATGCTTGCCTCGAGCAAAGAAGCGTTAATAGTAGCAGACCGTCTGCATCGCCAGTGGAAGGCGCTCCTCCCGTAGCTGCCTCCTGAACCACCAAGCAGACCCAGCTGGAGCGTCCATTGATGTTTCTGCTGCCAATGATGCCGAATAATCTTGGACGATTGGCAAATGAAGCTAGCTGGTAGACGAGGTGACGAAGTACGAGCTTGGTGAGCGCTTCCCCTTAGGTGAGAGTCCACCTGCAGCGGCCATACTGCGTACGAGCACGACCGGCCGACAATGACGCGATAGTCAGGCAGGTGCTGGAAAAGGTCGGACGCGTGCAGGTCTTGGCTTTGTTGCAAAACGATTCGAGCAGGATCGAAGAACAAGTCTCGGCCTCTGATTCCTAGTCGTTTGGACGAGTGTGTGGCTACTCGAACAGTGTCATTCAACGCGAAACGCGAAATACGCGACGTGATGCAACGGGCGTAGGCTTTCATTTCGGCCACTCGACCGGGGCCCTAGGTCGACCCTTGGGGAGCGGAACCAGGGGCTGGGTACACTCAGAGGCTGGTTCCACTCGAGTATAGTAGTGAGCGACCATGATCGACTGACAGTAAATTCCAGGCCCCGGTCGTTTCTAGGTCTCTCACATGGAAGCGAGTTTCTGACTTCTACGTGGTCAG